ACATACCCACTCGAAGACCCTCGTGATAGATCCGGAATATCGAAGTCTTCGGACTTCCAGGCACCGAGGTCCGTAGAAGAAACTGCTGCACTACTAAACCGGTCTTAGAGTTGTCTCCAGGCCACAACAGACAGATGGAACCGCGCGTCTGGCGGACTCTTAAGGAGTCTAAACAATATCACCTTGTTCTGCAGGAACTGTTGCGGTATCAGCTTCGCAGGTGCAAAAAGATTTTGACGACGTGTCAAAAGCTTTGATTGTTAAAGAGGCTTTTTGCTTCAGATGTCCGGTCTGAAGCTTTCTCAAGAACTGATGAATCATCAGAGTGATCCAGTTTTAATGTTCTCTTGTTATGATTTGTGTAGCCAACCAGAGGTTGACATGTTGAGGAATGGTTACCAAGACAACCTCAGAAACACGCCTTCCTTGATACGGAGGCTCTGATCTGGGGTTAAGGACTATCTATGTGTCATGAGTTAACTTAACCTTACTTTGTCCTTGTGTGAGTGCAACTGGTGATGACCTCGTCATATTAACATGCTGAAACATATGTCAATCACTGTAATCATAACATAACATTCATTTCAAACTTCAATCATTGCACAGATTAATAAAAACATTTAATTATACTGTAATTATTATAAATAGCAATAAACAAATGTTTATTTAATGAACATTTAACTTATAAGTTTCAAAAGTTCATATTTAATTTAAGAAATCATTCTTTGATTTAGTAACTAATCCAAGCTGCGAGTTTTCCTTATTCAGAGGCATGAAGAATCCTGTAGGCCGATACGGGAAGCTTGGACCTTGAGGAAAGAACATCATTGTTGACAATACGTTATCACGTGTTCAGAGCTGCAGAGGCTGATGGGATGAAGGCTGGCCGATTTAAAGGACAGTCCCGTGTCCCCTTTTTCACCAGGTGTTGAAAGGACGTTACAAAAACAACCGTCTGTAGTAACATGAGATGAGTTGCTTGTGAAGCACCAATCACACTGCTTTAAAACTGCAGTTACTAAACTCCCAGCACAGAAAAACATGGCACAATTACCCCAACAAACAACGTAATTCACGGGGCTTTGATGTCTCAGAGAGAGCCGTAAAACTGAGCTGCTTCTGGTCATGGAACGTCTTCCATCCCGCAGCTTCTCTCGTCCCCTGAGTGGATTAAATTATGGTTTACTTTGACAGAATAAAAAGTTTATTGTTATTACTGTGGACACTTTTTGGAGCCGATCATTAACGTCAGTCGCAGTTGCAATATATCATGACATCTTTTGGTCAATTTCCCCCTCCCAGAATTGACCCTTAAGCTCCGACAACAGAAACACGCCTATTGGAGTTTAAATAAAGTAACAGGACCTCTATCACCACCCAGAGCTTACTGCCATCTGTTGCTGTTTCTGAGCTTAATTTGTGAAAAATTTGGATAAATTCAAAAACTTTAAACAAATGTTTTTGCTCCTTCATCCACTGTCTGCTAGTTTTACACAACTACTGTGTTAGTTCATGCTAATCTGGAATGTCTTACTGGTATCTAGTTGAATCATTCATTTATACAACAGCCAAACTAACTGTTCTTCAGGGTTTTTTTCCTCTGTGCAAAGATCTTCAGCACTAAACAGCACCAGGTCAATTAGGATTCGGTTTTGGTGCAGAGTTTTTGGACTGGTCACCTTGCAGCTGCTCACAGGCAATGAATAATGGCCTCTGCAAAGGAGCAATGGCTGTGGAGGCCATGAATGAAGGCAGCCATAATCCAATAATCGTATGCTTTTACTTTAGAAAGTGTTTAACTCAAACCACCATTATCTCCCTCTGTGCTGCAGGCTGGAGTGGACCCTGCATTATTAATATTTTTTTTTACATAACTGCTAAGCTTCCATGCCTTTACATTAGTCTCTAAAGCTAAACGAGGCATACACATCAAAGTTAGACCAGATTCCTCTTAAGCCGAGCTCTGGTGCTCCTTTCTCCTTAAAGCTGTGGTGTGTAGAGTTAAGTCAGCAAGAAGAGGAGGATGAGATTTTTAGATTTTAACGGCTGTAGCTCCTACCCCTGTTCCTCCTCTCCTACTGGAACAAGCTGAATGCATGTAAATAGTCTTGTAACGCTAAGAAACAAATAATGTTTTTGATATGTTCCTGCTCAGACACTCCAGATTCTAACTACTGAATTATCTCTTCAGCCGTGATCGGGTTCTGCAGGAGCTGCTAATCACTTATTTTAATTAAATCTGCTGTGTTCAAGCAAGGGAAACATCTAAAACAAACATGATTCTCACCATGCTAGCACACCTTCAGGCTAACACAATAGTCTGATGTAGCATAAAGTTCATCAAATAGCTCCAATACACACAAATAAGTCGCCTTTCCTTCCACTCTCTTCTTTCTTTTCTTTATCTTTATTTAACCGAGAAAGTCCCATCGAGATTAAAAACCTCTTTCAAGGGTGTCCTGGTCAAAAGGCAGCAAAGTTAGTAGCACAATTAAAATTATATAAAAAATATGACATTATGTAAAACATTTCTTCCACAGTTTGTTCAGTTAGCTTGAAGTTTACAGACTGACATTAAAGGTCAAGTTCACTGAGAGTTTCACACACAGGCTAAATGTGAAAACGTCGATAGAAAATAGACGGGGAAACCCTCGAATTAGAAAAGCCTGACAATTGCATGTCATAATGTCAAATTAGCAGTCATAGACTCAAACATATTGGCTCGCGAGAAGAGATCAGAGCATATCTCAGCTAGTAGAAGCTAACCGTTAACATTAGCAACTCCACCACACAGCAGAACTCCTGCAGGCTTTTGTTGGTGAAGATAAAACATCAGTGTTGCAGAGCAAACTAAGTCTGTGGTAGAGTCACGTTGTTGTTGGCCAATCAGGAGTGAGATTATGAATATCAGGAAATAAGACTCCACATCCTGCCGTCTTCAGCTCAACTCTCCTCTGGCTCACTTCTAGTTCCTGAAACAGGAGCACCAGAGCCTTTTCACCATAGAGATCTACTCACAACACCACTGCAGGTGTGTTGAAAAAAACAAGTTAATTTTGTCTTTAGCTCGGTGCAGGTCAAGTTAGCGTTCAAGCTAGGTCGGTGTGCTATGCTAGGGGCATTCTTCAGCTCCCAGGTGTGGATACACGATTGTATTTGTCAACGCTCTAGACTTCCATAATGATTTGTTTTGCTGTAGAGCCCAGGGGAGGGACTTATAAATGATGAAAGCTTCTTTATGTCATAGAACAGGGTCAGATTTTTGTACTACGTACCCCACCTGTAAACCCCGAAGTGTTTATATAACTCTGCTTTTGGACTTTTTCTAGCCCTCTTTATACTTTAGAGAAGATGTTCCTACATTTAATTAGAAACCATAAAATGTGAAATATCACCTTAATGGATCTTTAAGTAAATTTAATCAGAAGATTAGATCTTTTTATTGCAGGGATTGAGCAACACTTCATATTAACTTCAAGAAAAGAGAGAGTCAAGTTTCAAAAGTTTAAAGATTTATTACTAAACAAATTAAAACTAGACTAACTTTAAACTCTAAATGTATGGTGTAACTAAGGTGAAGTAAGACTGAGGATGGTGTATGTGTGAAATGTTCAGAACCAGCAGATCCAGAGAAACGATCAGTTCTGATGGGAGTGAAGATGTTTCACTCTAAGCTTTGGTTCGGAGATTTATAACACACATTGAGACGCCATTCTGCCGGTCTACGTACCCTTGGCAGAAGTCCCCGTTAGATCAGGAATGTCGAGGTCCAGCTTGACCTTCTCTGGAACCGAAGCCGGTAGAAAAAGCAGCGGTTGCCGACCAGACCAGTCTTGAGATACTTCCAGGTCACGACAGGTTTATTGGCATCATGCAAGACCCAAAAAGGGGGTCGTGATGGTTCAGCTTTTATTCTGAAAGGAACCGTTGCAGCAGGTGGAACATGCAACAGATTTTATCCAGCTTGTCGTTGGTTCTTTCGACTGAAGAGGAGAGTTGGGGATTGGCCACTCCGACAACTTCTCTAGAACGCTTTGAACTGAAGTTAAGGTGATGTGGGCATAGTTTTATAATTTGGATGTTTTGATTTACGGTCGAATCAGAAAAGGACAACAAGAGGGGATTTACCGAGCACCAACAAAACCACGCCCCACATCAGATCTTGAAGGCTCTGATTGGATCAGCAAAAAGAAATGTGTCATGTGATTCTTAGCATTACGTGTGATCAGTCTCTAGTGGAAACATTTAAAGTATATTACTTATTATAATACTACTGATCATAAACATTGTCATTTCACAGATTGGTTCACGTTTTATTATTGACTAACACTTTGTTTGATTAGCTTATTAAAAATAGAATTCTTCTGATTTATTAAAAGAAAGAGTTCTTTGTCTTCATTCTTCTCTTGAGCTGGAAAGGAAGAAACAGTTTAGAAGCAGATGCATGAGACCTTGAGCAATATCTCATGCAGATTAGGTTTCTTTGAGCAGAGCAAAACAGAGCAGGACCTTTCAGGTCAGACATGGATAATTCATCACGCAACAATACAGTCTCAACCCAAAAATAAACAAAAACAGAGAAACCAGTGACATGTGCTTGGTTTAATACATCTTACCTTGTTGAGTCAGAAGAAACTGAATAATCAGCTGTTTTCTGCAGAAACTGTGTTTTAGGACTGTAAAGTTCTAATTTTCCTTGTTTAATGATGTTCACTTGGCCTCTGGCTCCAGACCTTGGACAGTTTTTGCCTCTAAGCAATAACAAAAGATTCCCTCGTCCTTCAACCGGAACGTCCAGAGTGCTGTACAGTAGAGCTCCATGTGGTTTATTCTTCTTTTCCTAGAGTGGCAGTTTCCTCTTTGTTTTCTGCTCTAAATCCCTCTCATCTCCCTTCAGGCTACAAGTGTGAAGAAGACACGCTGACCTCAAAGAGCAGCTTGTTAAAGCAGTCGTCATGTTTTTGTTCCTGATTTATTTTCCTCCTCTGCCCGTCTGCCAGGTGCTGTAGCTGTGACTTTGCCACCACCAACATGAACAGCTTAAAGAGCCACATGAGGAGGCATCCCCAGGAGCACCAGGCTGTGCAGCTGCTGGAGCAGTACAGGTGAGAGGCTGCTGACACGCACAGCTGGTGGGAGTCAAAGGAGATGGGTCACAACTCATGAGTCAAAAACCTTCTGACTGTGAGATATGGACTGGTGGGTGATGGAAGCTGGTTTAATTCTGATTCTGCTCTCTAAAGAAGACACAGATCTCTAAACTCGTTTTTGTTGCCTTGTTATTTGAAACGCTGTTTCCATCCTGTCTAAAAACACTGAGGTGTGACTAAATCACCTCTTCCCAAAAGTAAAACCCACCTGTAGAAGCTCTCCTGCGTTCCCTGGATCAGATATACGGTGAACAGTTGTTGGATTGTGTAGCACCAGATGAACAGCTGTGGCTTCTTGCTTCATCAGCTCAGCAGGAAACATGGCTAGAGTTGATTCCAACACTTCCATTTGGGTTCAGGAGCAACAGTCAGAGCTCTAAACTCAGGCCACTCGTGGGCTGCAGGAACAAATCAGATAAGAGACTTGGCTTTTCAATTATTTGATCCATTCCCCACCTCTGGAATTCTCTTCCCCCGATCTACGCACCGCTCACTCTCTCACACTTTTAAATCAAAACTCAAAACCCATCTCTTCACACAGGCCTTTACTGCATCGTTTTTAATACATTGTTTTAAATTTTTGCATCCTAGTGTTTTTACCTATTCCTGTACTGTTTATCTTGTTGTATTATTTTTCGCCATTGTTGCAAAATGTCCTTGGGTGTCCTGAAAAGTTCTGTTGAATAAAATGTATTATTATTATTATTAAAAGTTGGCTAATAAGTCCAGTGTTGGGTCTGTTCATCGAAGCCAGCCTAAGGGGGTGCACCATGGAGAAGAAAAGTCACTTCAGGTGTTCTTCTGGATGTTTCTTTTTGGGATCTTCCAATCACTTTGCTCCAAAGACAGTTATTTGATTTTGAGTAACTCTTGAAACTAGGGATGCACCGATACCGGTATCGGGTATTGGCCTTGATACCACATTTTCTAAAGTAACTCGTTAAAAGTCCCTCGATGCCAGGGACCGATACCACGGTCTGAGAAATGTCTATGTTTCAACAGCGTGTAAGGGGTTAATCACAGGTGCCGAGTGCACGCCCCCAGGGTCCCAGCTGCAGCTCAGAGCAGGGAGAAGGTGAGGTGAGACGGGATGAAACATGTCAGCAGTGTGGAACTATTTCAAAGTGGATGAAGACAGCAAAACAAAGGCGGACTGCAAATTGTGCTCGGCGAAATTGTCTGGAGGTGGTGCAAAAGGTAGCGCATTTAACACAAAGCACCTAAAATCCAAACACGACAACGAGTACAAAGAGTTTACGGATGCTTCTAAACCAACACAACCCACGCTGCAGCAAACTCTTGCAAGACGAGAGAAAATGTCCAAAGACAATCCACGTGCTGTGAAAATAACACAAGCTATTATGGAGTACATTGCACTGAGTGACCAGCCACTCTCGGAGGTAAAAAATGTGGGATTCCTGCGTCTCCTCCATGTTCTGGAGCCAAGATATGATGCCCCAAGCCGCCGCTACATGACTGACGCAGAGCTGCCCAAATTACACGACTCCGTGAAAAAACATATCCACAGCCGACTGCAAGCCTAATCTCACATCCTCTTCAGCTCAGAAAGCGCATATGATTACGCACAAGCGTGACGCGTCAACCCGGTCTCACAGTAAGACCGGGTTGGGCCTGTTCAGGTTTACCCAGACAATATTTACATTTAGAATTGACTTACAGATATAAAATTAATTCAGTAAAATATAAAGCTTTTTTTTTTCAATATCCATTCATTATTTTACAAGCACAGAGAGCCGCATCAGATTCAGATCAGCGGGAAGATTCCTCCGACTGAATTCAGTCGGAGGAATCTTCCTGCATGCGCTCTGGTTCTGCGTCGCGCTCCAAGCCCCTCTCCACATCTTCAGCTCGCTGTGGACCTTATGCACGCGCTGACAGTGAGCTGCGCTGAGCAGTGTCCAGCTCAGATGTTCAGATGGGAATCTTTTCTTGGGTGATTTAGCTACATCTGCGATGTGCGTAACAAATAAAATGTCAGTTCGTCTGCATGCGTCGGGGTAATTCTTTCTATTCTTTCTCCGTCAAAAAAAACGGTCAAATACGGGAACTATCCGGTCAACACAAGCCCTGCTTTTAACTGTTCTGTTTTCTTGTGAAAATTGTTGCAAAGAGATATAATTTAACTTGATTAACAACAGAGCCAGGCGCACTGCGCCGTTATCTCCGTCACTGTAAATGAGGGAAAAACAAACTGATCGGATCCTTTTCTGACCTTCCCCACCTACAAAGTTTAATTACAACAATCAAACGTGACAGAGCCTGGATTTGTATTCTGAACAGTCTAAACATGTTTTAAAAAGAAACGTATGACAAAAGTGGCACCTGCTCAGTAAAACCACCAACAGGGTGAAAAATATCTAAATATTGTCGGCAGAGACGGGTAACAACTTCTGGATCCACTTTATATAAATCATTTTATTGATTATCGTCTTATGAAAGATAACTTTGACGTACACGAGCGACCGGTGCTGGCTGCTGTCACCTGTTGTGAGCAGCGCTCTGCTGTCTGAGGGTAGGCCCCGCCCACAACGCCGCGGCTGCTGCAGTATTTTCTTTACTGTGGGAAACGGGTAATAATGGCTCTTTGATGGGAACAGGTTGCCGACCCCTGGTTTAAGTGTTTAAATTTTTTTTTATGAATTCGATTAAAAATAAAGGCGCCCGGCCCGTGTCCGAGGTAATTACACAGTCGTTGGCCCGAAGCCCGGCCCGAGGGCCGTCGGGTCGGCCCAGCCTGAGGGCCTAGGGCTTCAGTGCAGGGCTCTACGCTTTTCTAAGAGAGACCTGAATGAGAAATATTAACACAGAGAAACTCCTCCAAATGTCTGACTTGCCTTGCTTTGGTTTTTGTGTCATCAAGACCTTGTTTCAGCTTCTTTTCAACATCAGTTGCCGACTCCTTAATACTCATCCCGATCCCGCACTGTTTCTTTTAAGCCGGGCGTACACTGTGCGACTTTTTCACTCGTAGCACTCGGCTTCAGCTCAAACTGTACGACTTCCTCGCAGAGCAGATCTCACGAGTCATGTGCTCACACTGCACGACCCAGTTCTTGGATGCGACCTGACTGCTCACACTGTAGGTCTGGTAGCAACACGTCGGCCCTAAAAATATGCTAAAAATAGCAGTTTGTACTCAACACGTCAGACTTTTTTGTCTTGTTTTGCCTGTTGTCCTTCGGGAGTGCTGCAGGAGGACACACAGGGATTTATGGGGGTTGGATGAGGAAAACGAAATAAAGAAAGTAAATCTGTGTTTTGTGATCAGTTTAATTTCACATGAACACGACAAACACGCTCTCTTGACAATCTTTGTGAGTAAAGAAACGTGTAGAAATTAAAACGAACAGCGTGTGTTATTAGGGAAATAGCGGGGAGCGGTGTTGATGCAGGATTGCGCATGCGCCGTGAGCGGTTCTGATACATTTTGGGTCGCAGCTGCTCGCAGCGCCGCTTCAACAGTGCTATACCCTCACGAGGGACGAGCGAAATATTAAACACGCCAGAAGTCTGTGCAAGCTCACGATTGCTGATTGGTAGCTGGTCACGTGGTGTTAATCGCCTCTCGTAACCCCCTGTACACTACACGACCGCTCGGCGCAAAACTCGCCCCGATGTCGTGGATTCTCGCACGAGTGGAAAATCGGCTCAAAAAAGTGAAAAAGTCGCACAGTGTACGCCCGGCTTTAGCCGACCATTCCCGCCCGCAGCAATGTTCACACCACCAGTCCCCGCAAGATTTGTGTTGGGTCCCAATCCCGATGCAGCCCTCTAAGCTAGGGCACATGCGGAGGACACGTGCGCGCAAAATATACTTGTTTTCAATTACATTTATTGTGCCCACTTACATTTTCTTCGGCCCACCCACAAATGAGTTTCTGGCTACGCTAATGGTGACATATGACAGACTTCTCTGAGCTCCGCAGCCATTACACTTTTCACCTTGCGCACCCCCTAACGGCAGCTCGCGCACCACACTTAGGGAATCCCTGATCTGAATCAACTAATTAACTCTAAACACCTGAAAAGATTGCTGAGGCTTTGAAAAACTCCCAGCCTGGTTCATTACTCAAAACCGAAATCATGGGAAAGACTGCCGACCTGACTGCTGTCCAGAAGGCCATCATTGACATCCTCAAGCAAGAGGGTAAGACACAGAAAGAAATTTCTGAACAAATTGGCTGTTCCCAGAGTGCTGTGGGAAGGAAAAAGTGTGGCAGAAAGCGCTGCACAACGAGAAGAGGTGACCGGACCCTGAGGAAGATTGTGGAGAAGGACCGATTCCAGACCTTGGGGGACCTGCGGAAGCAGTGGACCGAGTCTGGAGTAGAAACATCCAGAGCCACCGTGCACAGGAGTGTGCAGGAAATGGGCTACAGGTGTTGCATTCCCCAGGTCTAGCCACTTGTGAACCAGAAACAGCGGCAGAAGCACCTGACCTGGGCTACAGAGAAGCAGCACTGGACTGTTGCTCAGTGGTCCAAAGTACTTCTTTCAGATGAAATCAAATTTTGCACGTCATTCGGTAATCAAGGTGCCAGAGTCTGGAGGGAGACTGGGCAGAGGGAAATGCCAAAATGCCCGAAGTCCAGTGTCAAGTACCCACAGTCAGTGATGGTCTGGGGTGCCATGTCAGCTGCTGGTGTTGGTCCACTGTGTTTTATCAAGGGCAGGGTCAATTAGGGCTGGGCGATATGACGATTTCAGACCGTTTTACGATCTACACATCTGACGGTCTGTCATTTTTGAGAGACCTTTTTATCACGATTCACAGCTCTGCTGTTGAATTTCTTCCTCTGAATGAAAATGGAACTTACCTCAGGCGAATGACACGCCTTTGTTTGATCCTTAACCAATCAGAGTGAGTCATAGTAATATATTAGAGCCCCACTTGTTTTCACCTGTGTGTGAACAAACACAGCTTCGGCCGCGGCTTAGAGTGACAACAAGGTTTTCGTTCCGAAGAGAAACGCCTCGTCCGTTATATGGAACTGGTTTGGTTTTTCACCAGATGACAAAGAGCAGCGAAACGTCATTTACAAGGAGAGCGTCAAGGCAAGTGATGGCAACACCACAAACTTGTTTAATCACTTGAAAAGAAGGCATCCCAAACAATACAATGAGAGCCAGCTGGTAGCTAAAGCTAAAAAGCCTGCGGCTGCAGCGGCTAGTGCTTCTTCCAGGCAGCAAACGCTAACAGAAACACTCACAAAACTCACTCCCTACGACAGAGACAGCAGACGATGGAACAGCGTGACAGATGCAGTGACGTACCACTTGGTTAAAGATTTGTGTCCCGTGCGAACAGTAGGAGCGGGATTTAAGAACGTGATAAAAACATTGGATCCGCGCTACGAGTTTTCCAGCCGCAAGTATTTTTCGAGCACCGCCATTCCACGCCTGTACGCTGAATGCAAAGTCAGAGTTGCAGAAAATATTCAGAATGCGCAGTTTTTTGCTACCACAAGCGATCTCTGGTCCAGCCGCACATCAGAGCCGTATTTGAGCTTAACTATCCACTACATGAGCAACTGGGAGCTACATAGCATTTTGAACAAGTTAATGTTTGCACAATACGTTTGCAATTGACATGTTTGCACTTTAAATATGTTTACGATTTTAATTTATGTTAAGTTACTTGAAAAACGAGAAAAACTGATTTTTGTAATTGTTTCTCTCGGGGCTTTTATCATCTCTGGTGTGAGTTTAAAATATAAGTGTGTTAGCACTGTGCTGATTATCCCTAATATGAATAAATGTTTGTTTATTCAATGTTTCTCTTCTTTAATACGCAATTGAAGTTATGCTATTCATGGATAAAAAATCGTGATAAAATAGAAATCGTGATAAAATATTGGAAAAATCGTGATATTCTATTTTTGCCATATCGCCCAGCCCTAGGGTCAATGCAGCTAGCTATCAGGAGATTTTGGAGCACTTAATGTTTCCATCTGCTGAAAAGCTTTATGGAGATGAAGATTTCATTTTTCAGCACGACCTGGCACCTGCTCACAGTGCCAAAACCACTGGTAAATGGTTTAGTGACCATGGTATTACTGTGCTCAACTGGCCTGCCAACTCTCCTGACCTGAACCCCGTAGAGAACCTGTGGGATGTTGTGAAGAGAAAGTTGAGAGACGCAAGACCCAACACTCTGGATGAGCTTAAGGCCGCTATCGAAGCATCCTGGGCCTCCAGAACACCTCAGCAGTGCCACAGGCTGATTGCCTCCATGCCACGCCCCATTGAAGCAGTTATTTTTGCAAAAGGATTCCCGACCAAGTATTGAGTGCATAACTGAACATAATTATGTGAAGGTTGACTTTTTTGTATTAAAAACACTTTTCTTTTATTGGTCGGATGAAATATGCTAATTTTTTTAGATAGGAGTTTTGGGTTTTCATGAGCTGTACGCCAGAATCATCAATATTAGAAACAATAAAAGGCTTGAACTACTTCAGTTGTGTGTAATTAATCTAATATATATGAAAGTCTAATGTTTATCAGTTCATTACAGAAAATAATGAACTTTATCACAGTATGCAAATTTTTTGAGAAGGACCTGTATTCAGGTCATCTTTCATTTTAAAACCTTTTTACTGATTTGACCCATTTAAGTGACAACAAGTCTGGTGTCCTGCAGAAGCAACACCTTCAGTCATTTTCATTCCTTTAAAATAAGCTGACAGAAGTTCATTAATTACCCATAGGTCTTTGCTCCCTGACAAATGAGGGATTTACAGTAAATGTTGGCTCTGAATCCCATCAGTGCCTTTGTCTCCTCAGCTCTGGGTCTACATGTGACATGTGATTCCTCGCTGTGGAACGCCGGAGCCGGATTAGGAAACTTCAGGACACATATTAAGTCAACTTGATCCGCTTTCCTTCTGACGCTCATCCCGCCTCATATTCCCTCTCTTCCCCGCCAGGTGCTCCCTGTGTGGCTACGTGTGCAGCCACCCCCCATCGCTGAAATCCCACATGTGGAAGCACGCCGGAGACCAGAACTACAACTACGAGCAGGTTAACAAGGCTATCAACGAGGCCATCTCCCAGAGCAGCCGGTAAGAACATGGCCGTTGAGGACCGGGAGGTTTGAGACGGCACCGACTCGTATCTGCTGTGGGGTGCAGGTCCTGGAAGAGTCATAAAGAAACCTAAAGCTATGTTGCTGTGTCTGTTCATATAAACTAGTGTTTGTTCACTAAACTAAGTGGCTTTCAACCAGCCAAGTTGTGCTTTTCTGATCACGTGACACCAGTTTGCTGGTTGGTGTGTTAGTGGAGAGTAAACAGGCTATGACAGCACTTTTGTTGTTCTTTCATCTCCTCGATCGGGTGAAACCCTCGCCAGTCCCACAGATGGAATGTTCCAGTCTTTCTGCTGGTTTGGAATTAATTTTTCCGGTGAGTTGATGCAATTGCAACACTCTGTAGGCCTCTCTGGTGTCACGTGATGAGAGAAGCATTATTTGATTGGCTAAAAGCCAATTGACGCGATCGAGTGACGATTAGATTTGCTTGGGTCACCAGGTCACCTCATTTCCTCTTGAGTTTGTACAGGTGAAGTGTTTGCTGATGTGTTTGAGTTAAAAAATTCAAATACATAATTTCACAGAATAAAATGTAATATCTATGAAACGCACCCTGGTGAGAATAACACTTAAAGCAAATTTGACCTTTTTGTCAGTTGGTCTAAAATTCAATTCAAGTTTATTTATAAAGCGCCAAATCATGACAAGAGTCGTCTCAAGGCACTTCACATAATAAACATTCCAATTCATAGTTCATTAAGCCAATCAGAAATAATGTTTCCTATATAAGGAACCCAGCAAATTGCATCAAGTCACTGACTAGTGTCAGTGACTATACAGCAATCCTCATACTAAGCAAGCATGCAGCGACAGTGGAGAGGAAAACTCCCTTTTAACAGGAAGAAACCTCCAGAGAATCCTGGCTCAGTATAAGCAGCCATCCTCCACGACTCACTGGGGATCGAGAAGACAGAGCAGGCACACACACACAAACACACACACACAGAGAGACACACACACACACGCGCACACACACACACACACACAAGTAATGTGTCTATAGTTATATTGTGATGTCTTAGTAAATATTCTATTTGGTGAAAGATAAACTTTGTTGTATTTATCCTAGTGGATCTATAATTAAACGGATAAACTAGCATTAGCACATCAAAAGTAAATGAAAACAAAAAGTTATTATCATGAGAGGGAGAATGTATTAGTGGTTAGCAGCAGTGTGCTAGTCGATGGCCCCCTCCATGAGGCCACCACAGCTCAGCAGAACATCATTGTAGCTTCTTCTGGGGAGAAAAACACTTACAGAGAAAATAAAGTTAACAGCTGAAATTGCAGAAAATAGTACAGTTAAAGAGCAGATTGTAGAAGAAAGTAGTAGAGTGTGAAAAGTGGTCAGTGTATCCTCCAGCAGTCTAAGCCTATAGCAGCATAACTACAGAGATAACTCTGGATAATCTATCCTATTTAGATGGAGGCATGTTGGAGTCAGGGCAAGGGAGAGCCGTCTTTACCGACTGTACACTCCACCTCCCTCTACTCCCCCACTTGTCCAGATTTAGGCTAACATCAGATTTGAACTATAGGCCCTATCAAATAAAAATGTTTTAAGCCTATTCTTAAAAGTAGACAAAGTGTCTGCCTCACGGACTAAAGCTGGGAGCTGGTTCCACAGGAGAGGAGCCTGATAACTAAAAGATCTGCCTCTCATCCTAATTTTAGATATTCTGGGAACCACCAGTAGACCTGCAGTCTGAGAACGAAGTGCTCAGTTAGGAACATATGGAACAATCAGATCACTGATGTATGATGGAGCTTGATTATTAAGAGCTTTATATGTGAGAAGAAGGATCTTAAAATCTATTCTGAATTTAACAGGTAGCCAATGTAGGGAAGCCAAGACAGGAGAAATATGAACTCTCTTTTTAATTCTCATCAGAACTCTAGCTGCAGCATTTTGGACAAGCTGAAGACTTTTAACTACATTCTGTGGACTTCCTGAGAGTAATGAATTACAGTAATCCAGACTTGATGTAATAAATGCATGAACTAGTTTTTCAGCATCACTCCTGGAAAGTATGCTTCTAATCTTAGCAACATTCCGAAGGTGGAAAAAGGAAATCCTACAAACTTGTGAAACCTGGGATTTGAATGACATGTCCTGGTCAAAGATAACGCCAAGGTTCCTTACTTTGTTCTCGGAGATTAATGTAATGCCATTCAGGTCAGGCGATTGGCTAAGCAATTTCCCTTTTCTGGATTTCTGGTCCAAAGATGAGAACTTCCGTCTTGTCTTGATTTAAAAGCAAGAAGTTAAGAGTCATCCAATTTTTTATGTCCTCAAGACAAGCCTGTAATCTACCCAACCGATTAGGTTCATCTGGAGGACAGTCGGTGGGTCTCTTTCCCGTTAAGTGGTGTTTATTCTATGTATTTAAAAAGCTATCTAAATGGCAGTGTTGTGGATAAATACGGGATCCAGCAGCAGGACCTTCAGCCTGGTTCTGTTGCTGTTTAGATCAACGTTAGAACATGTTTCATGTGGTGTCGTTTGTACTTAATGAGCCACTAAACTCTACTGCCTGTCCTCCCAGAGCTCCTCTGAAGCTTTCTGCGGTTCTGGAGTCGGTAGTGGAGTGTCCGGTGTCGGCCCAGCGCTCCAAAGACAAAGCAGCAAAAACCCAGGCGGAGCCCCTCCCAACGCCCACATCAGCAGTAAAGGCTGGTGGGTGTGTCGACAGCACCCCGAACCCCCCCACAGACTCTCCACAGGGGCCGGCTGAATCCCAAAGGGACCCCACACAACCCCAGAACCAGCAGCGCTCCGGCCAGGCCCCAGGCCCGGGTCCCGGTATGGAATACTGTGTTCTGCTGTTCTGCTGCTGCATCTGTGGCTTCGAGTCCACCAGTAAGGAGCGACTGATGGAGCACATGAAGGAGCACGAAGGAGACATCATCAGCATCATCCTCAACAAGGAGCCACAGCCCAGCCTGCAGACAGCAGAGTGACCCGGTCCAGCCCGCTTTTGGGTTAAAACTGTGTCCTAGAACCAGAGGTACCGGGAGGTGGGCCGGCCGCCTTTCCTGGTAGAGTGCTCTGACGTTCATCCGTTAATGTTCACATCATTTCACTTTAGGAGGTTTTGACCCTGGTTAGAGCAGAACCACACATCGGCCTCCTAAAGCTGTTTCTGGTCCCACCTGTAAACATCTGGATCATCAGGCAGCTTTCTCGTCGCTACGGATCACTTGGTGTTTCTGATCTGACTGAGTCGGGTAGAGGAAGGTTCTAGCTCACCTTTATCAGTGCCTAAAGCTCTGCCTCCCGCTCCTGCAGCAGCTCATATTTATGTTTTTTAGCTTTTGAGTCACCAGCGTTAGCTTTAGCTTCTCAGCTCTAGCAGTAACTTTAGATTTGAGCTGTTTTAGGGAATGTTTCAGAGGGACGGGTGGAGAACCGCCTTTGAAGACAAAAAGGGAAGTTATCTTTGCTAGATCTGTTATTTTGATCTGACTGTGCCAAGTATGGGAAAGTAGGAATACTTTATTGAAAGAAACACGACTACCGATGATTGTGGTGCTAAGTGGAAGGTTGAATTCGTTTTTGTATCCTGTTTTTGCCGTAGATCATTGTTAAGCTGTTTTCACAAGTGTTTTTGTGTCGAGCCCAACATGAAACAATTGCTGCCCCTGTGGGACACTAAAGGACAGGAGTGTGAGTCAGATGTTTATTAGAAAGATGAATGCAGGCTAAACACCGACAAGACTCGGCAGCAAATCCAGCGTATTTCAGAAAAGTGAATCAAAATGTCATGTTTTATATACACTTAAAAGTGTTTTTATTCATTCATCAATATGAATAAAAACACTCCCAAGTCATAGAAATTACATGTCTTGATTTTCATTTATTTAAAGACTTACCTGTGGTGCATGCCCTGAAGTTATTCCATAGTTTTACTCTTTCTACTGAACAACTCTTGACTCCTAATTTTTGTTCTATCTTTGTTTCTAGGTTACCATTTACCATACTCATACATGTGCTGATTTTGTTTTCAAATTTGAATTAATAATCTTGTTTGAGCACACAACATAACAGCATAAACAGGAAAAGAAAACAGTCAAAAGTCAAATAATTAGAAACATCAGCAAAGCAAAATATAATATGTCAGAATACTAAGCTGCCATGTAGGCCATTAAGTGTATTTGCATACGTGTGTGTTTACTGAGCCTCCTGCCGGCAGGACACACCCGAAACACCTCCCCAGGGAGGCATCCAGGAGGCATCCTGACCAGATGCCCAAACCACCTCAACTGACTACTTTCAATCCGGAGGAGCAGCGGTTCTACTCCAAGTCCCTCCCGAATGTCCGAGCTCCATGTCTCGTCGGAAGTAAAAGGATTAAAAAAACAATAACAATAAATTTTAAGTATCAGGAGTGACATTAAAGCAGAACCTTTGATGCTCCACCTGAGAGTAAAATCTGTAAGGCTTGTCACCAGCATTCAGACATAAATTCTGTTTGCTTCACAGCCAGACAGACACGGTAAAGAAAAAAAAAAGGGGGGGGGGGGGGGGGTGCCTGGACACAAGAAGTTGAGGCCACGTGTGAGGGAACACATGCGCAGATCCACAACCAACCAGATGTGTGTGTCCTCAAGGAATGCGACAACGGGTGGCGAATGCAACTTGGCGTGAGTGTCGTCCACCCAATTACCCACAGTGACCACATCTTTAAGTCTATAGATGTCCCCTGGAGACACGATAGGTAAGTTAATGATGAATGCTAGCTCTCTAGCATCTGGATCGACCTGTAACAAAATAGCACTGCCCAATGAGAAAGCCAAGCGAGTCTGAAGGGCAATCAGGTCCTTCGTTGTTACTCGAGCAATCGCAGGCCGGACCATGGCCAGGGACACGAGGTATGGAGGGATTCTCCCCATGAAGAGGGTGTCAACCGAGGAGCTCACATCCCGACCGTAGTCGGACTGGCAAGTGGTCAGCAACTGTGTATGCGCATAATCAACATTCACGAAAGAACGCAATTCGTTCACAGCGGAAGTTGTTCTACGCAAAATGTTGCCATGAGTGTTGAGTACCACCATAGTCTGGCGTTCGGACGTGCCCAGTTGTCTCAAAGTACACCGTTGTTGCAGTACCAGCTTGCGCAGGGCCGGGTATTCTCTGTGAAGCTCATCAACATGGTGACAAACTGTGCTGATCTTGATCGAGTTGACTGAAGAGAATCCGAAATTCAAGAGAGCCAATTGTATTAGCTACTGAGAAAACTCCATCCAGGAAACGCTTCTCTCTAACATTGGTACCCGAAAAATCATTGTTTGAAACTGTGAATTTAAGCGCCTGGAGTAGTATGTGAGAGACGTCAGCTTCTGAGTGCTGCATCAGGGTACCAGTCCAGTGGGCTCCAGTTTCCAAGAGGTTGCCAAAGGCAGTCATCATTTTGTCAGTACACACCATTGCGGGGTCAAATTTAACAAAAATACTTTGTGTGAACAGGCGGTAGTTAGTCATTAATAGACCCGGGTGCTCTCGGAGCGTGATACCCGAAGAGGGCCCAGGTTCATACAGATGCGTTAGAGGAGTCTGTGAAGGAAGCTTAGCCGCGGTTGACATTAGACAGACACACGCAACTAGCAAAAGATACTTCGTCAGTCCTGAAAACTGAAACCAAGAACATGTTAGAATGTAGAATGGCGCAGGCACGGCCTTGGCGAGGGTTTGGCGCAGGTGTGCCCTCGGGAGGGCCCTCGGTTGACGCACAGGTGCAGTCAGAGAGACCGGGATCAGCCAGTAGTGGTGTGGGATCAGTGACGTCATTAGCCCCCCTTTCGGTAGCTGGGGTCCCCACCCCCCACCCCCTTGGCAGGTGGTTTTCCCACTGCAGGGTGCAGAGTCTCAGGTGGAGCGCCACTGCGACCGTCAACTCCCCCTAGGGTAGGTGGTTTTCCCACCACAGGGTGAAGTGATTCTGCTGCAGAGACGATGCAGGCACTGTGGATGTCACTGACCTCAGAGGTACTGGATCGACTGGTCACTCTGAGAGGGACCTTTGTCAAGCAACAGTATCTCTCTTGCAGATTAAAGGCTCCAATTAAGACTTATGTCTCCATATGTCCGGATACTGAAGAGGTCAAACTGTAGATGAAAAGCTGACCATTTCTGGACGCTACAGATGGTACATCCGCATCGGAATATATTGGTATCAATGGCCTTGAGTTCACAATTGCAGTCACCTCCGCCATCAGTGTGATGAGTACTTTGTGTGTTAGAAGTGACCTCTCGCTCTTCAGAAGTAGAGCATCTAAAATGCGTCTTGCAATACCGACCATCCTCTCCCACACTCCACCCACATGGGAAGAGTAGGGAGGGTTGAAGATCCAGGTACATCGGTTGTCTTTCAGGTAGGTCTTCAAGTCAGGATCATCCAAGTTCAGCTTAAGCTCTTTACAGGCACGAGTAAAACGAGTTCCTTGATAAGATCTGAGTGTTTTTACAGGTCCCCTAATGGGCCATTCCCATCTGTACTGGGTCGGCCCGGGCCAGGTAGCCCCAGTCGGCCCCAGCCTGGCCCGGTTTATTCCACACATCCTTGTCTTAAGCCCATGTGAGCTGATTCTACCCACCAATCAGAGGCTTGCTCTAATGGAAGGTGTGAATTTGCTGTCAGCAGTGGGTGTGTTGGCCCTGGTCGGCCTGAAGCAGACCCCCTCGAGAAGAGGGCTGAAGAGCCTTGGTTGGCCCGGAAAAATACCAGGCCACCTAGATATGTAAACAACCCACGTTACCCAGACCGGGCCGACCCGGTACAAATGGGAATGGCCCATAATAGCCGTGAAACGTCTAAGAGCATTAATGAAGCTTACTGAGATCATGGACTCTGTTATCTAAATGTGCACTGCTCTGGTGCAGCATTTGATCTCAGCATGTCCTCCTCTAGTTCTTCTTGAGCAAACAGTCCATGAGCCAAAAACGTCCGGCCCAACATGTGTGAAAACTAGGTCAAAGGAGAGTCTCTCAGGTGGTAAGTCACACATCTTTTGTTCTTCTGATTTCCCTTTAGTTTCCTGCCCACAATGCACCTTAGCAGCAAACTTGAAACAAGTCTCTTCCCTCCAATAAGCCACAGTCCAGCAGTTCTAACAGCACCCTCAGTGAAATGTCTTCCCTGATGAGCAACTTGTTCATCAAAGTGTCACCAACAAAGTGGCAACATGGGTTTTGGGAATAATCTGGATGTTTTTCATCAAATGTCAAGTCTGCAGAGGATGAGTGACCACCGACTCTCAATAATCCATCCTTGTCCAAGAATGGGGCCAACTTGACCAATGGGCTCTGTTTTGGGACATATCTTTATTAAGGCATCAGAGTTCTTCAGAAAAGAAATCCTGCTGTGCAGACTTGATTATGATGTAGCTTGCCTGATGTTCTCTGCTTCAGAGTTCGGATTTGCTGGGGTTTTTGTGACACTTTTGACCTTTCTGATTAAGTTAGAAATAGCTCAAGTCAATGACTTCCAAGTTAAAAAAATTTCAAACCTATAGGATCCAAGTGGGTTTTGTGCCACCTTAGTCACATGTGTTCTCACTTCTGAATGAACTTCTGGATCAAAATCTGGATTTACCAGCTCAAAGTTTTGAGCCTGAAAAGTAGACTCTAGCTGAGACCTGGATAGGAACGATGGACCAAAAAACTAGTTAGTTTTCCCAAGATCAGCAGCAGGCACTGGACGAGTTCTATTGTGGCAAGGTGGAGAAACGAGGGCCCGGGCGGGATTTGATCCCCAGACTCCCGGGTGAGAGTCATACACTCTAACCAGTCAGCCAAAGGGACATCCCCTTGGCCAAGGAGCCAGGGCGCATGATCAATCGGGACACTAACAGGACACTCACACTGTCACATCTTCCCCCCTCTTTCCACAAGCACGTCCTCGTGCTCCCGCGCAGTGTGCCACAAACTTCACATCCATGGACCTACTTGACAGTACTACATGGATCCTGCCAACAACGCCAAATGTGGCAAGGTGGATAAACAAGGGCCCGGGCGGGATTCGATTCCCAGACTCCCGGGTGAGAGTCATACGCTCTAACCAGTCAGCCAAAGGGACATCCCCTTGGCCAAGTAGCCAGGGCACATGATCAATCGGGACACTGACAGGACACTCACACTGTCACAATATGATCAGCAGTGTTATCCTCCGTGTGTATGTAGCACCACTGGCGTGGGTGCGAAGACTTTCTGATTCGTGCAACTCGATGTTTTGTGGCTGTAACCTAACACGATCTTTCTGTCTGTGTAAAACTTAACTGAATGTACGTTCACCTCCAGCTCACCTTTGAGAAAGTTGGCTAACTCAACAATGAGCACAGCTGTGCATAACGCAAGACGTGGGATTGTGTGGGCTGGACATGGAGCTAGCTTGGATTTTCCCATTGCAAATCCTATGTAGCAGTCCCCTGAGACACTGATAGTTTCACATAAGCAACAGCAGCTATGGTTGTGCTTGACGCATCTGAAAAAATACAAAGCTCCCTCTGCTGAGTCTGTGTTGTCAGGGAGACGGGTACATAAGATCTTGGGACCTGGAGTTGTTCCAAATCTTCCAGAGACCTTTTCCAGAGCTTCTATTGTTCTTCTCTGGCAGCTGGGAGTGTGGCATCCCAGTCATACTGGTCGATACTCAATTCCCTTACTATGTTCCGTCCACCAATAGTGACGGGCAACAAACCCCAATGGAGCAAACTGTTCACTGTGGAGAGAATACCTCTCTTGGTCTCAGTCTTCTCATCTTTAGACACAGTGAAAATAAAGCTGTCCTTGTCAAGGCTCCAGCTCAGATCCAAGCTCCTCTGCATAGGCTGAGGTTCCAATC